GATCTCAATCGGTTTGATGCTACTGGTTTGAAAAAATATAGACGCAGCCGTTGTTACTTTATTGGTCGGATGGTGTCTGAGTCATTACTTTCGTATTTTACTGACCTGCACGGCACGCAAATTCCATCTTCACGTGTCTAGCTTCGTAGTTGAATGGTGCAATTAAAAAAAAGGTATATGAGATGTTTTAATGGCATATTTTTTAATCCCTTTCCGATTTATTATATCAAATCTATTTTTAATTAAACCTCTTAAAGAAAAAAATTACCGTGCATTCCATGAGCATGAAGGAGGAGAACTTGTTCTCATTTGTTTTAATCTCACTTTTAAATATATCCCATGAATTATTGGCTGGCAAAATTTTATATTAGAAAATATTTTAGAGTAAAGTTAACTTAACTTCAAACAAGTGGCAAGCATCTTAATCATGAAAAATTGTAAAATTAAAAGTTAAAGCATCCAATTCTTGTATAATACTCATTCCGTTCAATGTATAAAACAATTTTAAATAAAATTATACATGTTAATGAAATTTATTAAATATAATTTACAATCTTAATAATTTTTTACAAACTGTCTTTATTTTGGGATAGTATTTCACTTTTAAAATATCCTATAAATTAAGATAGAAAAAATAGTATCTATTACTTCCTCTATTGCTTATTATATGTTCCATTTAAAAATTTCCTTTAGAAAAAATCCAAACTATCTATCTCACTCATGATATTTAAAAAGCACTATTTCCCTAATTATTTAATTAAAGGTAAGAACAAAAAAAAAGCTAGTTTTACCAATCACATCGATTTTAATTTATATTTAATTTATGTATTTTTCAATTATTTATTCTAAAATTATAAATAAATTACTCTTCCGTCCTAGTTTACAGGGCATTTTTTGGCAGAATTGCACATATAAATAAAATTTATTAATACACTTCACATTATTATTTTTTAAAACATAAATATAAATTTTAAAATACTCTTAATTAACATAACCTTATTTTTGAAACATTAAAGAGAATGACAAGATATAATTAGAAAGGAAGAATAATATTAAACCTAACACTTCCTCCATCTTAAATTATAAAGTATTTTTTAATAAAATTTAATATTTTAAAATATAAAAATTTTAATACAAAAAATTTTATTAGTAATATTTTTTAATATTATATTTTTTATATATTATCTCTTTTTAACATTTTTTTGAAATAGAATAATAAATGAAGGGTGTTTTTAAAAGTTTATATTTTTTATTTAAAAAATAATATTATAAAAGATATTTAATGAGATTTTATTTAAAAATATTTTATAAATTGAGATGGAGTATGTATAATTAATAATATGAATTTTAACAAAATATTTTATAGTTTGAAATATCTCATTAATGTTAAAAAAATCTTATTTAGTTTTGTCATTTTGTGAAGTGAGTCTCGCATGTGCTGCATCTGCCTTTGTGTCATTAACATTAGCCGCCCCTTATGATTGCCCCAAAGTGTGTCTCTTCACTTCTTTTTTCTCCATTTCCCTCCACTTCTCCCATCCTCACCATTCATTAATTTTTTTTATTTAAAAAATTATTTAATAAAAAAATTTGAATGGTGGAGATGGGAAAAGTGGAGAGAAAGGGAGGAAAAAAAGGGAGAGACCCTGATCCGTTGATTGCCCCACCCCTCCAAATGGGACTCGGCTTTGATCCCCCATGTTTTAGGCTCCGCTGAATAGTAATAGAACATGCATAGTTTAAATTAAATTTTTAGGGTCTAAATTTAATATTTTATTTTTATCAAAATAAAATTTTTAAAAATGGAAATTTTTTAAATAAATCTGATTACACAGTATGTTTAATATTTAATTTTTTAGAAATTAATTATCCAAACATTAATATTTAAACAATTCAGGTTTAATATAAATTATTCATATTTAATATTAAAAATTAAAAAATCTAACTTTAAATTCCTATATTTTATTTGAGTTTTGCTATAGGTACTGTATTTTTTTTAATGTTCTAAGTTTTTATATTTTTATTTTTAAGTGTTATAAGTCGCTCGGTGTTATACGCACCTAGAACAACAACAAAAACAAAAGCTTGAGAATTTAAAATATAAAAAAGAATGCATGGGCCTATAACATAATTTGAATAAAATGTAATAATTTAAAATTATATTTTTCTTAAAAAATTTTATAAATTAACTACTTAAATATATTTTAGATAATGCAGATATCTACTAACAAATACTTTTAAAAAAAGTTATTATAAGAAATTGGATCATTAATATTAAATGTAGATTATTCAAATTGATAATTAGATTTATTAAAATTTTTATTGTATTTATATTTTTTTAATAAAAAATAAAATATTAAATTAGGATTGCTTAGATTCTCCGGGTGTGCTGAGGAGCATCCGAGGAGGGAGGTGTCAGAGGAGCAGATATGTATCCCTTCAAATGACGGTCCCTCCCACAGCACTCCTTTTCCAATCTTGTTACTTCTCCATTTATTTCATTTTTCCTCGTATAAAATATTTTACAAATATATCAGTGGATTTTATCTCAAAAACTCTTCCTCATTTAACTGATGAAGAAAGTGTGAGTTATAGATGCTACTATAAAATGAAGTGTGGTTATAAAAGTTTATACACTCTTTTTTTTGTGTTAACGGAGTAAATAGAATTTTAAATTATTTTTTTAAAAATCATTTTAAATTTTTAAAATATATAAAATAAATTTTAAACTTTTAAATTTATAACAAATAAGCCATGACTGTTAATTTTTTAATACTATTACTGTCCATGTAAATACTGTTTAATGTTTATTTTCTTATAAATTTAACATTGACTGTTACAATAACCACATGGACAGTAACGATATTAAAAAAGTTAATAGTCAGGTTTATTTTGCTATGATTTAAAAGCTTAAAATTTATTTTATATATTTTAAAGTTTATGGTTTAGGACAATTTTTGAGCAAGAGTTTAGAATTCTATTTGCTTATTAACCCCCTTTTTTTAAATATAATCTTTGGTCCTTATAATTTTATCATATTTACTTTTACTCCCTATAATTTTTTGGATTTTTAGTCCTTATAGAGATTAAAAACAATATGGACTTGAAAAAACAAAAGCCATACAATTTTTTTTTTGAAACTATAAGGGTTAAAAATACTGAAAAAATTATATGAACTAAAAAAAAATCTAATCAAATTATAGGACCAATGACAGTGTTTTTTTTTTTTGCAGAGATTAATATTTTAAATACATTTAATTGTTTTAATGGTCTTTACAATTTTTGAAAAGACATCTTATAAAAGGTAACATACAAGGTTTGTACTTTTTAATAGCTACTATCCTTGATTTGGACATGAGAAATACTGTTGGTTTTTACTATATGGACTGAGAGAATCATCAAATAACTTAAGTTTCTGCAAAATCAATCTATTCCTTTTCTAAATGTCCATGTGTTCTTTAAATGAAAATTATTTGACTGCTAATAAGTATATCAATAAGTGATAAAATTAAAAACAAAACATTTAATACTTTCGTGAAATATGAAAATGACACTTCGTTTTGAAGCATGAAAAAGAGATTTTTCGTGACACTTATTTATTACAAAATGGAGGGGGTGAATAGAATAACGTACAACCTCACCAGAGTTAAGTAATTATCGTTTTTAAATGTATCACAAATTGGCATTTTTTTCGAAACAAACGCCTCTAATTCAACCGTTCAAACTTTTACTTCACATTCATTGATTTCTAATTACCACTCTATATTATGAAAGGTACAAAGTACAGTTGAAATAATATGATTAATGTATTAGGCACGGACTTTTATTTTATCCATTTTATACTTTCTAGCAAAACAAGTGTCCCACAAATGTGAAAGGAATATTCTATTAAAATATTTTATATTTTTTAAGCCACTCAAAATATAATCATTTATCAAATATTAATTCTTGTACTAACTACTGTTGCTCTTGGAGCACCAGCCCAAGCACAAGTTTTGAATTTGAATGTATAAAATTCTTTTCATTTTAAATTATAAAATATTTTAAAAAATTGATATCTTAAAATATAAAATATTTTATAATAAATAATATTTCATTAATAATGTTTTTAATATTATTATTTTCATTATATTATTTTCCTTTAATATTTTTTATAAATAAAATATTAAATTTAAATTATTTATAAAAATATATTTAATAAATTTTATTAGTATAGATAATTTTGTTTATATATATAATAGAAGAAAGTAGTAGTAGTTTTTTTCCCTCTTTTATCCCCTTTTTCCTGCTGGTATCCTTTCGTTCAATTTTTGTGGGAATAAATGAGCGCGTCTCGGCTCAAGCACTTGCGTGACTGTTGGGCTTGAGATCCAAAATCAAAAAATTCACTCTCCTTCAACTACCCACGCCTCTGGTTCTTCGCTGCTCTCTGCATCCTTCACCCTTCCTATAACTTGGCTTCTCAATTTATAGCGCCAAATTATCTGAGCTTCTTTTCCCCTCCACAAATGTCTCTTCCTTCATAGTACCCCAACGCCTTCTTCTTATTCTTGTTCTTCCTCCCACCCTGTTCCTTTTCTCTTGAACAATTCTAAAAGGTTTTGCCCAAATGGGTTGCTGTGAGAGTACTAACAGAGATCTATCCTCAGCTTCATCCCTCGCCAAAACACCAGATTTCTCTTGTCCGCAAGAACCAGGTGCCACTGGGATCCAATTCTTCTTCCTGTACCAAAGCTTCAGAAAACAGAGCACCCCCTGACGTGGAGACTGTCAAGGAAGTTCTCTCAGAAACCCACAAATGGAAGCCCCGAATCACCAACTTGGAACCTCAAAAGACGCCTCAGAAATCCCATTCCATAAGTTTCCAGAAGTGAACAGCAAGATCAGCAAGGTGCCGCTGCCCGTGAAAAAGGAAGAAGAGATCTCTGAGGTTTCGGAGGTTTGCAGCTTGAGCGAGAGTAGGATGTCGACCACTACAATAGCTGACCGGAAAGAAGAGGATGACGAAATCCGCCAAAGGGTTAGCTCGTCTCCGGCGAAAATGCGGAAAAAATCGATCCTTTTCTGGCGACGGAAGGAAGAGGATTGTGGGCAAATCTCCGACCAAGAGGCCGGAGCAATTCCCGGTTCGGAGGAATATCGGGTCGGCGAGGCTAACTCCAAGCAGAGACCAACTAGTTCGGAGTCAAACAATGGGCAACAGAGGAATGAGGAACGAGCCTCGCGGGCGGAACGCCGTCGAGAATTCCTGCCGGAGATCCAGGTCGCCTGCCATGCGCACGGACACGGAGCCACTAGATCCGTCATGGGTCGGAGCCCATCGAAGAGAAGACCAAACCAGTCCCCTGTCCGTACCCGAGCCGCCACACCAGAGCGTGTCAGCCGGAGGAAAGAATCCTGGAACGGAAGGCAAATGGCCGTCAGCGGCGGCGAACGAATCATTGGAGAACCCTCTTGTGTCACTGGAATGCTTCATATTTCTCTAAAGAATTCATCCATTCCAAGGTGGCGGGACTGGTGGCACCTCATTGCCGCCGGAGTGTTGGGGAGCTGAACGACGAGTCGTATATCAAATATAATAGTTCTGTACTGGAATATTTGCAGTTAAATGTAACATGAGGGTGTAAATATTTCTAAGTCAGGTCAATTGTAGGACATAGAGGAGGGGGCAGGGTATGGCAAGGCCTAAAGTCCTTAACTACGAATCGAGTATCTCAACAATTTATCCTGATGTTAACTTTTGGATACTGGAATACGTAACTGTTATTAGTTTACTGACCCGTTAGCAGTTTACATCATTGCTCTGTTTTCTCTTCTGCAAGTTGATTCCTTCTATTGCAGGCTTCCCAGGTAAGGAAAGATTGCGTTTCTGCCATTTAGGATTCTCTGTGTATCAAGAGGCTTAGCTTCCCTTCCAGGCCAATCAAATACTACTACTCAATGGTTGCAATAATTTGTTCAGTACACACACTAGTAGGAAAAAGAATCGTACAATGAAATAACTGTACTAAAGTTCTTTATGCAGAGAAAGAAAGTGGGTAGGGTAAATTTGCAAGGATATGAAATTTTTTTGGGCCAGTTAGGAAGTGTATTTCTGGAGGTAAAATTTCCTATTTCACATGCACCGGATTTGACTGGT